CCAGCCCTTTGCATCTCCTTAACTCTGAGAGAAGGAAACTTTACCACAGAGAGTAGTTATGTAGATAGACAAAGATCATTTTCTCTCCAACTGACTGAAAATATAAATGGTTGCAAGTAGGAAGTCACGGGAGGCAAGTGTCCTAGCAAGGTCTGGGATAATCAAATTTTTTGGAAATGGAGAAGCCCTTGTAGTTAAAGGAAAACATTGTACATTTTCTGAGCTTTGCAAGACAAGGTGGTACTTTTCTTATTAGCCTAAAATAAGTAAGGCCACCTGAAAGTGCCAAGAACTTTAAAATTTCAGCATTCGTTCATCTTATCCCACTGTTTGCTGTTACAGTTAAATTAAACATAATGCAGCTGAATACCACAACTACTAGTTACTTCTCCCAGATTTTTAGTGGGAACATAGCTTGTTTTCCATAATAATTTCCATTTTAATTTTCTTTACAGTTTGTAAAGTGTTTCCCACAGCAGTCTTAGAACATTGGTAATGCATTTATTATCATTGCAGCAGTTTGACATGTGAGGAGACTGGGACTCAGATAAGTAGCATGAATTGCTCATGTATCACACACAACTGCCCAGTCAGGCTGGATTCAAACTCGTGTCACTTGACCCCAAGTTTGGTGTTAGTTCTAACCATATGAGGTAGCTTTTGAAAAAAATCATTTGTTTATTGTTGTTGAATGTTAGAATTAGAAGGGATAGCCTCCTTTTACAGATGAATGAATGGAAACTAACATCATCATCATCATCATCATCATCACCACTACCACAAGTATGCCACTGTGAGCAAAACTTGTGGAGAAATTCGGATTCCCAAGGCCGGTCCTGGCCTTAAAGTGTGTGACTAGAAAGAGAGTCGAGACAGGTTGGAAGAGCTCCCAAAGAAAGTAGTTACTCTCTCAAGGTCAGGAGGAGGTAGTGTCCTGAAGCAAGGCCTGCTCAACAGGGTTGCCGAGCAGTGCCCGAAAACGAGGTCATTGACTTTGGTCATGGGAGGAAGTTTGTAATTTTGCAAATTCTTATGGCAAGAGATGGGGGCCTCTAGGGAGTGCCATAGCTAGTAGAGTGCTGGGCTTAGAATCAGATGACTCTCATGAGTTCAGATCTGGCCTCAGTCAAACATTTCCTAGCTCTGTGACTCTGGGCAAGTCATTTAACCTTGTTTGTCTCAGTTTCCTCATTAGTAAAAATGAGCTGGAGATGGCAATGGCAAACCACTCCAGTATTTTTGCCAGGAAAACCCCAAATTGGATCATGAGGAGTTGGACATGACTGAAAATGACTGAGCAACGACAAATGATGGGAGAAATGATAATTGAATCAGTTCTGTGATACCATCTGATCATTCGTTGTTCCCTGCTACATCAGCTAGTCTGGTTGGCAGTTGGTGGGAAGAGCCAGACCCTTTCCTGGGTTGATGGCTGTGAGGGCTGGGCTAGAAGGTGGACTGGTAGTATAGGGGCTGCTGCCACCTCAGGGCTCTCATGCTGATACCTTTATGAATAGCAGTTGGCCAGCAGCCATTGCTGATGGTAAGAAAGGTGGGCTCCTTTTCCACAATGATTTCTCCTCTCAGTGGTGCCTGCACAACCTGGGCTGGAAGCAAGTCCAGTGGCCTGAGGGACACTGCGTTCCTAAGGTTCTTGTGTTCATTGTCCAGGGTCATCTCCATCAGGTGTAAGGGGGGAGATGGTGGTCAGGGGGTGGTGGTCTGACTTGCCTGACCCTTTCTGTCTGCTGTCTCTCTCTTGGGGTTCAGAGTATTTGTGTGAGGCAGGGAGTCATTAATAGCAGAACAGCAGGCTACTGAACGATGACCCTTTTCTCTTTGGACTTCAGTAAGTCATCAGGCCTGTGCTGCAGCCTTCCAGGACTGGCCAGAGTTTGCGTTCTGCTCCCATATTTCCCTCCTGTCCACTGCAAGGCTTCTGAGTAAGACTTGAGTCCTCCTTCAGGAGGTTTTCAAGCAGAGGCCAGGTGATCACTTAGAGGAGATTCCTGTGGAGGCATAAATGGGACAAGAGGACCTCTGAGCTCCTTTCTAAATCTGGAATTCTGAAAATTTGCCTGAGCATTTCAAACAGTGTTAATCAAGGCAGCTAGGTAATGTGGTACGAAGAGTTAGAGCATCCCTCTGACACTTCCTTCCTATGTGACCCCAGGTCACTGAACTCTCTTAGTCTCAATTATCTTACCTGTAAAATGGAGCTAATAATAGCACCTACTAAATGAGACAATATATATAAAATCCTTTTCAGATCTTAAAGCACTATATAATTATTATGCATCCAATGGGAAAATATTTGATTTACCACAGTTTAGGTGTATAAAAGATTTAGTATAGCCTTCTTTGAATAAAATGAGATGTCACTTCCATCCTCTTAGGAGTTATGGTCAGTCTAGTTGTCATCATGCTATTCCAATGGTAGAAGTCTGTCCTCATAATATGACTTATTAAGGTTACTTACATTTCTGTACCATGATCAAGGACAGGTTTAAATGTCAGCAGCACCTATGGCCAGATCTCCATTGTTTTCTCTTAATGGGTAGAATGGACTTGTATCTTAGGAAAAAATTGTAAAATCTTCAAGCGTAAGGATCAGTAGTCCTGACTCTGACGACAACAGTCAACAAGTATGTTTATTAAGCACTATTCAGGCACTGTGCCAATGCTGAGAATACAGACACTTGGGAAAGACAGTCTCTGTTCCCAAAGAACTTACATTCTAATGGAAGAAGACAGTATTTATAAAAGGAAGGTGGAAAGAGGGTGAGGAGAAATAGTAGCTGGCTTGGGGCAGGAGAAAGAAAGTCCTGTGGAAGAGAGTCAGCCGTGCACCTTAGAAGGACATCTTTGGCCTGGGGAGCTTCTGCAAGGAACCAGCCAATTAATTAGAAGGTTAGGCCTTGAGGTACTTCCAGTGTGAGAAATAGTCCAGGGGTAGAGAGAGCTTCCTATGGTAGATGGTCTGTAGGGCAGCCTGGGGAAGAGCAAAGAAGCATTAAAATGCTTGATAGAAGCTCCAGAAAGAAGAGGAGTCAAGCATTGGCATTCACCTTCTCTGACTGCTGCATCTCGGGTTGGGCACTTAGAGAGCAGTAACCCCTTTTACCTACTGCACATTCCGTAGGACTTGATGAAATTGAAAGAGATGGCCAAGAAGATGTCTTCTTCCTTCAGTCTTCAGAATCAGTGCTGCTCTCACAGTGCTTGCTTTTGCTCCTACTTCTTGTCTGCTTACCAGCATCTAGGTCTGGGATTCTCAAAGTGATGGATGAGTTGTGTGACTTTTTGTGTGTGTGTGTGTGTGTGTGTGTGTGTGTGTGTGTGTGTGTGTGTGTGTGGCAGTGGGGGTTAAGTGACTTGCCCAGAGTCACACAGCTAGTAAGTGTAATGTGTCTGAGGTCACATTTGAACTCAGGTCCTCTTGACTCCAGGGCCAGTGCTCTATTGACTGCTCCACCTTGTTGTCCTGTCACTTTCATTTTTAAAAAGGTATTAGTAATTATTTATTCTCTATTTGGTAAGATATTGTGAAAACCAGACAGGAGTTTGGCAGAGCTTAGGTTAGATTAACTTCTTATACCACCTGCCACAGTTAAGTTCAAAATGGATGGGTGACTTTAATATTTTTTAAAAATCACTATCTAAAAAAATGTGAAGAAATTTTGATAACTAAAGAATTAGTTCAAGTACATTTCACGCTTTGGCTTAGAAGAAAATTCCTAACCAAACAAGGGGCAAAAGTGATCATGAAGATAAAATGGATAGTTTAGATAACATAAAGGCGAACTCCTGCATGAACAGAATCAGTATAACTAGGGTAAGAAAGGAAGGGGTTAGTTAGGGGTAAATCTTTGCATGAGAAAAGAGCCCAACATCCAAGGTACATGAAGAGCTAAGACAAGAATAAAAGACTGAAAGCCATTTCCAATTGGTAAGTGGTCAAAAACTATGAAGAAATAGTTCTCAAAAGAATTACCAGCTATAAAAAAGCATATGAAAGATTGCTTTCAATCACTAATATTAGGACAAATGCAAATGACAACTCTGAGATTTCCCCTGACATTTCACAAATTGGAAAAGGTGACACAAGATGAGAATAATAATGTTGAAGGAGTGATAGGGAAAATGCAGGTACTCTAACACCTTATTGGTGGAGCTATGCATTGGTCCAGCCATTCTCAAAATTGATTTGAAATTATGCTGAGAAAGTAACGTCCATTTATATACCAAAATATTTATAGCAACACTTTTTGTAGTAACAAAGTCCTAGAAGCAGAGCCCATTGATTGAAGAAATGGCTAAACAAATTTTGGTACATGGATGTAATGGAATATTCCTATGCTGTTAACCATGATGAATATGAAGACTAGAGCAGCATGGCTAGACTTATACGCACTGAAGGAAGCACAAGCAGGAAGAGAGCGTGTACCGTGATGACAGCAGTGTCGGAGAAAACAGCCACAACCACAGAATGGAAAGCAAACTGTTGATTCCAAATAGAAATAGGCGGTAGAGGTGGAGGACTGCGGGTACAAAGCACGACTTAGTTGGTGTGCTCATCAGTTCTCCTGAACTGCTTTTTTTCCTTCTTATTCATTGTTAAAAGGGTTGACTCTGGGAAGGAGAGAGGAAAGAATATATTGGAAAATGAATGTGATGTAAAGACAAAAGATATCAATACAAAATTTTTGAAAAGGATTATCTCCGAGTACATTAATATTCTAAGAAAAGTTGTAGTACAGATTTACTTGACAGTTAAATTGTTACTTAAGAAATTAGTAGGTTGGACTAGATCATCTCTAAAATCTTTTCTCTCTTGAACCATTAAGCATTAAGTCAGGCAAGTCTTTATTGCCTAGAATAGCATGATGTCCATAAGATGTAAGTTTGTAGTCTCTTCTTTTTTTGTTTTTTCAAATTTTGGCTAGTTCATTTGAGAGAAATCTGTTTTCATCATTGGCCCCATTTATTTTCTTCTCAAGGAGCCAGCTTTTGGAAGCAAACATGAAGCCCCATCTTCTCCCATTTCCGGCCAGCCCTGTGGAGATGACCAGAATGCTTCTCCTTCCAAACTTTCCAAGGAAGAGTTAATACAGAGCATGGACCGCGTGGATAGAGAAATAGCAAAGGTAGAGCAGCAGATTCTCAAACTGAAAAAGAAGCAGGTAAGTACATTTTGTAGTCTGTCATGTTGTTTGTATTGCCACTGCCACTCCACTTTATTCCTGCATTTCCTCCTCTGACATGTGGGCTGCTGCTAAATTAATCTTCCAGAGCACAGCCTGGTAACATTGGGGTCATCAGGTACATTTGATAGCTCTCACTCTCCCCCCAGTTGCCATTGACGATCTCCAGCTCTACCCATCCCTAAACAGAGCAAAATCTTTAGCCGAATGGAATAACTGACCCTCCCCAAATAGAATATGTGCACTCCTCTTTTTTTTAATGTTGCTTCCTCTTTCTATCTGTCTGTCTTCTGAAATTCCATGTTGCTCCAAAGCCCAGTTCAGATCCCTCCCAGAGCTGCCCATGACCTTCCACCTGCATGCTGTGCCTGAGCCTAGAGGAAATTGGAGGCTTTGTGAGCCTAGGAGTTGTCTCATTTGTCTTACTAACTCATGGGCCTTTGTTGATGAAGACCTAGACTTCAGTGGAGGTGGGGTTGCTCTGGACCCATGACTTCTTTGGTGTGGGAAGATCTGGTTGAAAAGGTGTCTACACCTCCCTTCCCCCCTCCAGTTTTAAAGAGCTGCTAGGGGACCCTGAAATCACTGCCCTAGGGCCATACAGGATATTGCAGAGACAAGACTTAAGCCGAGGTCTTCCTAACTTCAAATCCATCTCTCTCTTCACTACCTTACGTTGCCTCTGTGTTGAATTGAATGTGAGTAGTAATCACATTGCATTAACTATGTTACTAGTAAGTATGTGTAAGATTACTTTGGGATGTAGATGGGTGATCAGTCTGACCTAATTTACGAGTAAAATGGCTTAAATCAATGAAATTGTTTAGAAAATTAGGTTCTTCTAAATGAGAGTGTTGATGCAGTAGTTTCCAGTGCTATTCCCAATTTCTGTTGCTTTATTACAATGTAAACCAATGTTTTGAATTTACCTCATGATAAAGCATTGTAGATATGTTCAGAGTAATCTGGGATTGAAAAATGGGTGGAGAAGGTGGGCTTAAACTATACTATATTAAGAGATCATCCATGCAACAAACCAGTCTGGAACTGGTAGTGCTGCATAAGTGTGCCTCCTTGTAGTTGTATACCCAGGACTTTAGCATAGTATGTGACACATGGTAATGATTTAATTCTTTTCATCTTAGTATAACCTCAGGCAAGTCAATTAACCATACCAAGGCCCATTTTCCTCATCAGTAAGATAAGAGTGTTGGACTAGACGATGTCTAAGGTCCCTTTGAGGTATAATATGATTTCTGGTCTTTAGGATGTAGTAGGAAAAGGTAAAGTCAGGGGGTTTGAATGCTGAATGTTCAACAGGCTTAGTAAAGCCTAGGAAAGAATTGTCATTTGAGATCGAAGGACAGTGGAGAAAAGGAAATATGTAGAACTCAATTTGTTTTAGATAAAGGTTGAATTTACTCCTATTCAAGAAATTTTGGTTCTGTTCCACATGTTGATGTGTTAGTCTAGACCAGAAGCAGAACCATGAAGGACTAGGACCTGGTTTGATTTGAGAACACACAATCCCAGGCCCTCAGAATTCCTACGGAACCATTCTGTCTCTCTAGGGATTTTCTCAACTTGAGGCAATGACCCAGACTGTGATGGGTGGATAACTCAATCAGTAAGCATTTATTAAGAGCCCCTAGTAAGTGCCAGGCAATTGGATAGGGCCTAAGGATATAAAGACAGAAATGAACCAGGTCCTGTTTTCAAGGAGTTTATGTTCTAGTGGGATTATATTTGATCCTAGAAGCTAGAGGGAACCACTGGAGTTTCTGTAGATGAATCCTGTGGTCAGATGTGAGATGTGTGCTTTAGGAAGCTTACTTTGGTAGCTGTGTGGACAGTAGTGAAGGGAGAGATTCAAGGCAGGGAACTGATTAAGAAGCTATGAAAATAGTCCATATGAAAGAGGTGATGTGGTCCTGACATGTGATATACACATCTCTGTGTGTGTGTGTGTGTGTGTGTGTGTGTGTGTGTGTATGGTCACACATAAACCGATATACACATACAAATATGTATGTACACATATGCACATATTGTTGAGTTGTTTGTCATGCCTGACACTTTGTGACCCCATTTAGGGTTTTCTTGGCAGAGATACTGGAGTGATTTGCAGTTTCCTTCTCTAGCTCATTTAACAGATGAGGAACTGAGGCAAACAGGTTGAAGTGACTTGCCCAGGGTCACATGGCTAGTAATTGTCTGAGGCCTGATTTGAACTCAGGAAGAAAAGTCTTCTGACTTCAGGCCTGGCACTCTTATCGCTTTACCACCCAGCTCCTACATACATGTATACATGCATGTTTAAAAATACCTAGATCTAGCCAACTCATTGGTAGGTAGGTGGGTGAAGATTGAGGAGCTGGGGCTAGTCTTGTGGTTGTGAAACTGGGAGACTGGAAGCACAGTGGTTTCATTGCCAGAAATGAAGAAATTCTGAAGAGTACCAGGTCTGCGGAGGGAGCGGGGGAAGATGGTGAGATCTGTTTTGGGTGTGTTTAGTTTTAATGCCTATGGGAAATTGAGTGTGAAATGTCCAGGAGATAGTTACTAGTGCAGGTGACTGACATTCAGGAGAGCCTCTAAGGGAGAATATATACAGATGAGGGACTAGGGAATCTTCTTCATGGATTGACAATTAAACCGAGGGGAGCCGATGAGGTGCTTGAGAGAATGTGGTGGTACACCCTACGTGGTTATGTGGGTCTGGATGAAAAAACAATAAAAGAAACTGAGGAGCTGGGAGGGAGGAGTAGAAGGAGGAGAGAGCAGTGCCTTGAAGTCCCAAGAAGAGAGGACAGGGCGTCTCTAGTTTCCCATGCTCTGGAGAGATCAAGAAGGATTAGAGGACTGAGCAAAGACAATGAAGGATGTCATTGGTCACTTTGGAGAAGGCAGTTTCAGTTGAGTGATAAAATCAGAAGCTAGGTTGTAGCAGTTTGAGGGGCAGCGGAGGCAATGGGTGTAGATAGGTTTTTCTCGACACTTAGCTGAGAAATGGAAGAGAGGTTCAGGGCATTATCCTGAGGGGATGCTAGAGTAAACAGGGCTTTTTAGCTTTTTAGTTTTAGACTGCAGGAGTGTTGGCTAGTTGGCAACAGTTGGCTCACGTGATTCTAGAATTGGAAGGGCTCTGAGTCAGCCTAGTCTAACTCCTAAGGCCAGAGATGTTACATGACTGCCTAAAGGTCGTATGCCTAGTTAATAGTTAGTCATTGTTTTCCATGGTTCATGGGATGATACCGGAGAAAATCTCACGAATAGGGATATGTTTTTGGTTGTTTCTGAGAAGATATTTCCTAGGAGTGTCTGTGTAGCCTCACAATTTAGCAAGTGACTGCTCAACTCTTGAATTTCTATAAATATCTTGATATATTATTTCCTTTTAAATAAAATTTAGCAGACGTGTTCGAAAGTGCATCTTACTGATGACTAATGACCCTCTGTATAAGATTGTTTACCACAATTTTATTCCATCTCCTTTTGTCTGATTTCTAATTTGTAAAAATGCTCCATTACTTTTCCTCATATTAATTTTCACATGTAGTTAGGCTTTGCTATGTAGACTAAATAATTTTGACTCCTTTTACTCTTCCCCATTTCTATATGATGTGGTCTTTATATGTGACAGGCACTGAGTGAGTTTTATTGCCTTCCTTTGAAACCTCTTCTTCAGTTTTCCCAGCATTTGTTGAGCTTCTGCTCTTTGCTTAGCATTCTGTCAGACCCTGGGGAAGATGGAGTAAAGAGATGTTGCCAGGCGACAGGAATTAAAGACTAAGATAGGCCCTGCATATGACATAGAGAAGCACAGAACTTTTTGTGCAGGTATATATCCAAATACGTTATGTTGTAATAGGGAGAGATGAGAAATAAAATATTTACTGATTTCATAGATTCTGTACAATTCTGAATAATTAGTAGAGCAAGTCTCCTTCATGAAATCTTCCCAGGGGACGTGAACACAATTTGGCACGAGATAAAGATGTATGTGATTAAGAGAATTTTGCATAGCCTGTGTATGGCTGGAGGGAGTATCAAATGTCCAGATGGGCTAACTCCCTGAGCTGGCCCAAGTTTAGGCATGGAGAAAGCTATAAAGGAGGGAGGAAATAGGGAGATTCCAAAGTCAGAGAAAGTATTTAAAAACAACCCCTGTATATAGATCATACATCTAGAGTCTTCTCTTCTGGAATCTTAATCTTGTGGCCTCTTCTAGTCTTTATTTTCAAAAAATATTTTACTGCTTTGTGTTATCAAGTGATAACGTATATACAAATGAAGGTAATGAAGGTAACGTATTTAAAAGCCTTAGGGTACCATATAAATGTTAGTATTTCTTGCCTATCATTTCCCAGTTCTCATTTTATATTTATATTTATCCTACCTGTCTAATGATTGTCATTTTTATGATAGTTTAAGCACAACTATGTGATTAAAACAGAATGGTTCTTTTAAAGTTTATCCATTATTGTGTTTATAAGTTGGTTCACTTTAAAAAATTTTGGGCTTTATTATAGAGTCATGCTTTTAGTTTGCTTTTTTGTACCTTTAAAAATTTATTTAAAACCATTTTGGGGGTATTTATGACCTAGTTTTATGAAGAAATAACCAACTTCCTTGTTTCCCATTTTTTTGTATGCTTTTAAAAAAAATTCTAAGGTGATTTTTACTTGAATAAAAATATCAAAATACCTTCTGTGCTTATTGATTCCCATCTTACTGTCTTTTGCATTTTATTTTTGTTATTAGCACAGAAAATAATGGTTCTTATTGTATTCATGTTCATTTAATTTTTTTTTTATATGGTTATACAACAGAGGTAGCCAACTGTTGCTCAGTAGTCTGTTTTATCTCTGGTGACTAATTATTAGTTGAGGTAACATGCTGCAGATGTTTGATTTCTTTTTCTTTTTGTTTCTTAGCAACAACTTGAAGAAGAAGCTGCTAAGCCTCCAGAGCCAGAGAAGCCTGTGTCACCTCCTCCTGTGGAGCAGAAACACCGCAGTATTGTCCAAATTATTTATGATGAAAATCGGGTAAGCCTATGTTTGCTGGGAGTTGACTGTTGAATGTGATCTTCAGCATTGTATTAAAAACCCATTCCATTCTTGGTTTTGAGTGTAGGTTGCAGTCAGCATTTAAAATGTTCAGTTTGTAAATCTCTCAGGATTCGTGAACTGTCATGACTTGAACCTGACTCTGCTGAAAGCTTTTGATAGCCATCTTTTGTAAGGAAACAGGCCTTATTCTTATGCACTTCGTATGTCATGAAATAGAAATTTGTCTGGTTGGCTTGGGGGAAATCATCTAATTACAGATTCTCAGTGGCAGTATGCATTCTCTGCTGGCCCAAGTCAAAGAGAAATCTCCTCTGGTTTAAACTCTCAGGGGACACTTATAGCATTCATTACTAATGAGCTGCAGTGTCACAGGTGGGAATTGCCTCTACACTTTATTATAAACTTTAGAACTTATACTTGGGAATTACAAGAGACTGTGGACCTTTCAAAGCAATTTCAGCTTTCATTGCTTCATAAATAACTTCCTTATCTCTTGTTTTCTTTGAATTAAAAATCCCCACTGGTTTGAAACAGATTGCAGTTATAATACTATTAGTATGTTTGTTTCACCTTTTTTTGTTGTTCTATCATGACAAAAGCACTGTTTGTGATAAAAATTAGTATAGATAATGGTAGTCATTTGTATGCACACAGTTGTGAAACATGTGATTTTATAAGTCTTTGACCTTTTCTCCGTGTTAGTCAGCTTTTCACATTTAAAAAATTTATGTGAAAAGATTGTGGCTTTGTTTAGAATTTCTATATATAAAATTTACAGTTTTAATCAGATGCATGCTAATAATTAACTGTATTTCCTTAAATGCTAAATCTTACTTAGCCAAGAGCTTGTAATGTTTTAAATGATGAAGGAAAAGGAATTGTTTGCTGGAGGCTATTGTAAGGTATTATATAAAAGCTGTGATATTATTCAGCTGACTTGCTGTTATAAAAAGTGCAGCCATCAAAATATGTGTTTATTATACAACAAAGTTAAGGGTCGTGTCTGATTAACTAGCTTAGGGGCCAAAGGGAGTTAGACTTGACACAAATGGAGTAATGGAGTAAATCAGAACTAGTTCAAGATGAGAGCTTTATGATTTTTCTTTTTGACAAGTATTTTCTTCGATAAGTCTCTGCTGCAAATTGGTATGATATTAGTAAATGGAGAACTGATGAGACTGTTTATGTGCAAAGCTTCTTGGTAGGTTCATAAGCTAGCTTTATAGCTGTTTTTGTTTTTTCAGAACCTAACCTTTTTGAAATATCTTGCATAAGAGATAAATATAAAATTAGAAGTACTTTGTGTGGATATTAGAGAGTTGGTGTCCGTTTTCCTTTTTAAGTATTTTGTGCCAAATATTATTGACTCACTATCTTCACAAGTGTGAGTGAAACATGAATATAAATGTAAATTCGTTTGATGTTTAATTGGTTGTTTGATTTATAGGCATAAAACACATGAATCAAAATTAGTGAAATTCTTTCAGAAAAAATGATTTGGTGGAAAATTTTGTTTACATTTAATTTTGGTCATAGCTGTACACTGTTTTGATAGAGAAACTTTTCTTGTCATTCTGAATGTTGTGCCCAAAAGAAAAAATCTTCCCTGACTGTTCATTCTTGGGCTGTAACATTAGTGTATGTCGAGCTACCCTTAAAATCCTAAAAGAAGGAAGATTGATGTAATGCATGAAATCTGTAATTAATATTAGGTCCTCTGATGGTGAAGTTATTAGCTTCCTCATTAGTAATTATTGCAAAATTATATACTTTATAGTGTACTTATTGCTTGGTATTTGCCACGGGGCTGCCTCCTTCCCCCCAGTAGCCTTTACCTTATTGATCAATCGTAAATAATTGGCACCACAAAAAAAGGGGGAAAAATTTAGAGGTAAGGTCTAGAAATAGTAGAATATTTTCTTCTTATTCTTTCTTACCTCTGCCAACTTGATAGCAGATTGGGTCTATTGCACTTGAATTATTAGTTTTTGTGTTAGTGATTATAATGCTGACTTTTCTTGCACTTTATTGTTTATTTACTCAAAAAAACCTTTATTAAGTATCTACTGAGTCATTGTGCTAAGTCCTGGCGATATATAGATATACAGGGACTCTGCTTTCTTAGAACTCATTCTAAAACAGGGAAGTCTGGTTAAATACATTTGATTGAATTCAAGAAATGTTTATTAAGTCCTTATCTCTGTGTCAGACTCTGGGGTTACAAAGCCAAATGGAAACCAAGATACAAGGAAGAGTGAGTTAAGTCCGGAGCATTTCATGTTATCTTTACACCAGCCATGTGTTAAGGCAGGTGATATAAATATTCCTAATTCTCTCCACCTCCCCTCCCCCATTTTATGGAATTTAAGTGTGTGCAGCTTGAATTCCTCATAACATGATGTGTATATAAGGAGTTGTGTGAGAGACTTAGCTACCATCCAGTAGAATGGTTGGAACACCAAGGCTGAACATTTTAGAATTAAGCTATTCTGCAAGAAAATTCTGCTTGAGTAAGATTTAAAGTTCGGACTAGAATTCATTTGGTCTCCAAACATACCACTTTATGAGGGTAATACTAAAAACGGTCTCATGACCTGTAATTACTTCACACAGCTGTGGACTCCAGAAATATTCATTGGTTCTCAAGTTTCAGAATAATATATGTTGGAAAGTTAGCAGAGCAATTTCTCCAAATACCCTATTTGTTTATTTTTTTGCATGTGTGAGTACTTTACAAATGAATGACACTGGAGCACAAGAAGGAACTATACATATGGATTATAATCTTTTGCCTCATGATTTAAAACACTATGGGAAAATGTGACTTGAATTTTGCCTAAATTTGTTAGGAACTTGATATATTTACTAACAGTTAAGTCAACAGTTTTGAGCTTGAATCACAAAATATCAGAGTTGGAGGGTCACTTAGAGACCATCAAGTTCAGCTGGTACCCAATAACAATGTCCACTGTTACGGGCCTGACAAGTGTTCATCCGGCTTCTGCCTGTGAGGACCTCTTGCAACAGACACTACCTATGGTTGGTTTAATTCTTAGTTCTTTCTCTCTGGAGTCAAGCAGCACAAGTGTAAACCTTTTGCATGTGGCACCTGGTCAGAAATTTCAACAGAATTATCATGTTGCTCCTCCTTCATTCCCATCCTCCCAAAGGAGGGGAAAAGCTAGGCCTTCTCTACTCTGGGCTCACCATCTCTATTTCCTTCGGCCAGTTGTCCTTTGATATGATGTTGAGGCCTTTCATCATTCTGGTTGCCTGCCTCTTGTGGTTTTTTTTTATTTTTAAAAAATTTTTATTATATTCCTCCCAATTACATGTAAAAACAATTTTTAGCATTCTTTTTTTTTTTAATTTTGAGTTTTAAATTCTATCCTTCCCCCTTCCTGAGATGGTAAGCAATCTGATATAGATTATACAGGTGCAGTTGTATAAAACATTTCCATATTAGTCATTTTGTATAAAAAGACTAGAACCAAAAAAAAAAGTGAAAGAAGGTAAGAAAGTGAACAATAGTATGCGTTGGTCTGTATTCCGATGCTGTCAGTTCCTCCTCTGGAGGCAGAGAGCATTGTTCATCAGGAGTCCTTTGGGTCTCCCCCCTTTGAAGACTCATGAATGGGATTCTGTTCATCAAGGACTTGGTTGGATTGATATTTGGGTACTTTTTAAGGGGATTTCCTAAGCAAACAGTGTCAAATAGTATATTCCTTTTTTCCTATTTTTGTAGTGATTTTTCCCCATGTTTTTATACTTTGTTTTTCCAAATTAAATTGTATACTCCTTAAGGGCAAGGACTTATATTAATTGTGTCAAAAACAGCCCTGTAGCCCTGTCTTGTTAATAGGTGTTCAGATATTGATTTTTGTTGTGTACTAGATTAAGATTGCAAGGGGGATTATCTGCTTAGTAAAGGAATTATTTTGTTTCCATATACCTTGAAACATGAATGGATATACTAACAATATGAACGAAGGTAGATTTGCTTAGGTTCCTGATTTGTTGTGTTAGTTTTGTAATTTTTATATAGTCAATATCTGTATCATGAAATCCTGGTTTGTTCTAGTTCTATGTTAAAATTATAGTACTTGTTAAAAAGAAGTCTGATTCTGTTTGATCAGTACCGAATATCTACTGTGTGTTTGTTAGTATTCGTTCATTCAGTCTGACTTCATTTTAGCCTGAATTAGTAAACTTTATTATGTACTGGCAAATGAAACCAATATTCAGGCCAGAAATGTGTTTCAGGTTACTTTTGAAAATGAGTTTATAGTCAGCTTATTTTAGTTAGAGAAAATTCTAAAATATTTAGCACTCCTTTTAAAATTAAGTTTTGCTGTTTAGCTGCTTGATTTCTAATTGCCTTTAACAATTTTCGAAGCTTTAGTTATCCAATAAACATGGAGGGCAAAGTAAGAATGTCGCTTCTTCTCCCCAGTAGTTGGTGTAGTTGTAGAATGGTAGCAGTACACAATATGAAAAGGAAATTAATGCCATCAACTTTGGGAAAGAGGGGGAAAATTATCCCTATTTGTAGACTCTATGATGGTTTACCTAGAAAACCCCAGAGAATTAGCAAGGAGACTAATTGAGACCTTTAGCTTCATGAAAATAACAGTGCTCAAAATAAACTAGCAAAAATGAACAGTATTTCTATGTAGCAGGGTGTTTTTTTTGGCTTTTAGGCAATTGGGGTTAAGTGACTTGCCCAAGGTCACACAGCTAGTAAGTGTCAAGTGTTGGTTGGGTCTGAGGCCGGATTTGAACTCAGGTCCTCCTGACTTCAGGGCTGGTGCTCTATCTATCCACTGTGCCACTTAGCTGCCCCTTATGTAGCAGTTTTTTAAAAAAGAAAATAGAAAGTGAAATTATTCAAAATAATAACAAAATATGACTTACTTGATTATAAAATATTCTAAAGAATTTGTGAAGAAATGAAATAATTGGAAGGATATTCACCAAGTTTGGGTTATGCCATTATATTAAAATTAGTGATACTGCCTAAAGTCATAGATATAATGCTATACCAATAGGATGTCCAAGGAGTTACTTTATATGCTACTTTATAGAAGCAAAGTAACAGAAATTCATTTGAATAAACAAAAGAATCTAAAATTTCTAGGGGTATGTGAAAAGATAGTAGGAGTAAACAAGGACATAGTATTTCCAGACTTCAGATTACATCATAAAGCACGAACACCTAACACTATGATGCTGGGCAAAAACTTTAAAGTATATCAGAGGAATAGACTAGGTAAGCATGAATCAGAAAAAAATGGAACTCTTAATTTTGACTTCAAGAAATCTGAGAACATAAATATCCTGAGGAAAGATGTCTTGTTTGACAAGAAGTATTGGGAACAGTAGAAAGCAATGTGGCAAAATATTAGGTTTAAACCAGCATCCCATACCATATACACAAGTTTCAAATGATTATTTGAATTAAATATGAAAGATGTTATCATTTAAAATAATTGGAGTAAAATGGATAGAGGTATTTTCACCTTGGGGTGAAAATTCTTAAGCAAGAGATATGAGATCTTTAAAGATAAAATAGATGATTTCAGTCACATAAAATTGAAAGACTTTTCTATGGACAAAATCAACACAACTACAATGAAAAGGAAGACTATTGATTTAAAAAATTTTTTGAATTAAATATCTCTAGTGATCTCAGAATTAAGATGTAAGAAGAACTAACATAAATATTTAGGATTGAGCCATTCTGTAGTAGATAAGTGATTAACCACATGAAAGACTATCCTAGATTACTGATAATAAATAGAAATGCATGTCAACACAGCTCAGATATTATATCCAGCAAATTGGTAAATTTGACAAAATATGAAACAGTTAATGTTGGAGGAGTGGTGGGAAAAAAGGCACATATACTTTGGTGCAATTGCAAATTGGTAATCATTCTAGAAAACAACTTGGAATCATTCTAAGAAAATGATTAAAACATCTGCCTCCTTTGACCCATACACACACACACACACACACACACACACACACACACACACACACACACACACATCATTATACACACACATGCACGCACATGTATCATAAGGTCAAAGACAGAAAGATCCCATATATGCCAAGATATTCACTACAGCACTTTTTGTGGTAGCCAAGAACTGGAAATAAAGGTGTTATTCAGTTAGAAAATGGCTAACCGAATTGTGCTACATGGGTATGTTGGAATGCTACCATGCTGTGAGAAATGACAGCTAGGAAGATTCAGAGAAATGGAAAGAATTATGTGGATGGATGTAGAGTATAGTAAGCCAAACCAGGAAGACATTCTGCTTAGTGCTTACAAAAATGTAAACTAAAAAACCAGCCACCAAAAACACTTCAGAATTGACTGTTAGGGAAGTAAAATGACCAGGCTTGACATCAGAGAAAAAACTGCACCTCTTCTGATTGTGGAGGACAGGAACTTTGGTTACAGTTATATATAGAATGCATGTGCTATCCAGAATAGGCTGTGTGTTTGCTTTTACTGAACTCTTTTTCTCTCTTTTAATCTGTTACAAGGGGAAGGCTCTTTGGAGATATCAAAGAGGGAGGGATATATTTGAAAATGTAAAAGCAAAATACGTTGAAATTATCTGTGCTTTAGGTAGTGATGCTAGTGACAAAATGATCTATTTAATTTATTTGTTGAGAAGATATATAATACAAATCAAGGAGAGATTAAATCTCCTTCACCCATAACATAAGGGAAGTATATTTGGAAATAAGAATTTTCTAGGATAGATATTTCAGTTATGCTTTTCAATATGTGATTATTTTGTTTATTTATAATTATTTAGTACAACAATATTTTTGTCACTTATAGAAAAAAGCAGAAGAAGCTCATAAAATTTTTGAAGGTCTTGGCCCAAAAGTTGAACTGGTAAGTGAGCTTTGCCTTTTTCTTGTATTGTTTTCCTGTGTTCTCTTTATTCTGTTTTTGCCTTTTAGGACTCGTTTGTTTTTTCTTTTTAAAAAATTGATGCCTTTTGTCTTTATATCACATACATTTTTAAAATTAATTAATTAATTTAGTTTTAGTTTTTAACATTCACTTCCACAATATTTTGAGTTCCAAATTTTCTCCCTATCTCATCCCTCCCCCGACCCCAAGATGGCATGCATTCTGAATACCCTTTCCCTTAATCTGCCCTCCCTTCTGTCTCTCCCTGCCTTCTCTATCCCCTTCCCCTTCAGTTTTCCTGTAGGGCAGGATAGATTTCTATACCCCATTTCCTGTATATCTTCCCAATTGCATGTGAACAGTTTTTTTAAACATTTGCTTTAAAAACTTTGGGTTCCAAATTTTCTTCCTTCCTCCCTCCCCACCCACCCTCATTGAGAAGGCAAGCAACTCGATACAGATTGTACATGTATAGTCATGCAAAATACTTCCATAGTCTAAGTCATGTTGTATCACATACGTTTTTGAACATAACTATCCCCATCCCCTTTACCCAGAAAACCTTTGCTTATAACAAAATTGAAAAAGAAAAACAAAACAGTGTAGAACTTATTCTTAATATAAGTTAATTGAGCCTGTGGTGGGTACTTCTATGAACTATTTCATACCTTAGTAGGCAGTGATTATGAGTTGCTAGGGCCCTAAAACATTCCTCCCCTGATTCCAGCCTTCAGACAGTCAGCCTTTCCAAACTTCTTTGACATTGATGGTCTTGGATAAAAAACCCTACTGCCATTGCAAAGACCAGTGCCTTTGCACCTTTGTAGGGCCTCATCGTGTGCTGTTTCAGCTTACCCTTTTGTCAACAAGGATCCTCTTCATGCCTTCTGTGCTGAAGCTATTTAGCCAAACTTGAGTGGGGATCCTTATTGCATCAGTCTGGACTGATTATCTCCTCAGTGCTAGGAGCTCCTGATGTGGAACGTCCTTCTACCAATGTAGTTTGGCACCTTCCTGTAATTTAGAGTCTTAGGATGTTTCCTAGGGTACCAGAAAGTTAAATGTTTTGGCCAGGTCACACAGCTAGGAAGCGTCAGTGCTAGGACATGAGCGTACGTCTTGCTGACCTCAGGGCTGGTTCACAATCCATGAAGCCATACTTGTTCATACTCTTTGCTTATTACGAATAAGAAAACTGAGGCAGGGCCTCTGTATGTCTTTGTGTGAGTAACGCCTGCCTCTCATCTGTCCTATTTGGCAGGACAGATTAAGAGTATTCCCAGTGGATTTTGGATTACTATATTAGAGAGGGAAAGAATCAGTGATGATGAATCTAATGGTCACCTTTAACTTTCCTTGAAATTTAAAATATCCATGAAAAAAATGTTTTATCATCAGACATGAGCTCAATTTCTGGATTTTTTGAAAAAACATTCTCACTAAAAAGAAGAAAAACAAGACTAAAGATCTGGCTTTCTTTGGGCATGTGTGCAAATTAAGTTCCAGATTTCCAAATGAGAGTATACTCTGATGTCATGGAATACATTCTATTCCATTCTGCATAGACGTCAGGACAACCTTTGAGTGATTTCTTCTCTTTTTCACTTTATAGCCACTTTACAACCAGCCGTCTGACACCAAGGTGTACCACGAAAACATCAAGACGTAAGTATCTCTTGATCGTGGAATCCCGTCATTTAGAGGCCACCCATAAACGCACGACTCTGTCAGTGAGGCTCTCCTCTGTTGGTCACTGCTTGCTGTAAGATAAGATCCTAGAGGCCTTTGAGACTCGGGCCTTTGCTCTCATCTTGTTGTGTTAGCTCCCTTTGATTTCTTGGGGGTTGGGCGAGCAGCTTTCAGTTCCCCAAGACCAAAAATGACATAGACTGTGACGTAACCTGGCTGGTTTTGTAATCGCTAGTAGAGAGTGGATACTGAACCTTGAAATGGCTTACCTTGAGGCTTGAATTTTTTGCCTCCTGTTTTGTCTTTTTTTCAGTGGAGCACCTGCAAGGCGCATGATGAAGTAAGATAATGAAGCTTTTTCATTTAAGACTAGTGATGACACCGTCCCCCACCAAGCCACATCTGCCATTGCAAAGTAGAAGCGCCACGGATCATTTTATCATTATTCACAATCCTATTCTAGGGAAATCCCTTCCATGCCTCTTGCCAGCTACGGTATTTGTAGACCCTTCTGCCATTTAACGTCCTGGCGCCTCGTGCCTTGGAAGCGTGAGGAGACTGCTCGCTCCCACAAAGTCCTTATCCTTGCTCATTGTAGGATAAGGCTTGGATGGATACCAGTTTGGGGGCTCAGAGCTTAATTGAAATGAAAACGACTTGCGTAACATAATTGCAGTGAGGTGTAGATCGTTAGGGATCTTGCTTTTTTTTTTGTTTTGTTTTTTAATTTGTAATTTTAAGATACTTTCTGGTGAATTATTTGCTAGTGAGTTACCAAAAAAAATGATATGAATTCCAATATGATGTTTTCATATATTTTATTGAATATTTTGCTAACCATAACCAGAAGATATATTGTTGTTTACTAATATTGGTACCATTGGCACATTGCTGTTAATTTTTTTCGTTTTTTGCTGAGAGTACAAGTGAAACAGAAAACCCCATTGCACCCATGAGCAAGAACTCAGCTCAAGAACTGGTGGCAAAGATGATTTAGCAAAGCATACATAAGAATGTGTATGAATAACAGCTGACCTGAATTCTGATCTGGGATACAGCTTGTTAAATATAAGAGTCACAATAAAATCGTTACACATTCTTATTGACTTCTGTTGTAGGATGCTATTTCAGTGTTAGACTGTAGAAGGAGGTTAACAAGATTTATAATAAAATATAAAGTATTTTAAATATTTTGAATATAAAAGATGAAGGGTAGCTAGGTAGTACAATGGGTACAGCACTGGGCTTGGAACCAGGAAGACTCATTTTTGTGAGTTCAAATCTGGCCTCAGACACTTCCTAGCTGTGTGACCTTGGGCAAGTCATTTAACCCTGTTGTCCTCAGTTTCCCCATCTGTAAAATGATTTGGGGAAGGAAGTGACAAATCTTTTCAGTACAGTATCTTTGCCAAAAGAACCCCAAATGGGTTCACAAAGAGACAGACCCAACTAAAATGGCTGGACAGCAACAACATAAAGTTTTAACAAAGAATAAATGTGTGATACATACAAAAGTAGTGTCAGACACAAATCTAGGTAACTTCTGTAACTACCTCATTACTTTTTGTGTGCATTATGTCTCCCTCTTATACAAGTCCTGAGGAGTGGTTACTGTCTTCTATTTCATTTGTATTCTCTGGTACATTCAGTACTCCTCTGTTTGAATGAGTTTGATATATTTGAGTTCTTAGTAAATTACCTTTTCAAATAGTGTCTACAAATTGTGATGGATTTGCATTTATATCTGGTTTATCAAGAGACTAAAATTAGATAAAATTGAATGTATGTGAAATATTTGACCTACATACAGTTAAATGTATGTTATCCATACAGTAAATGAACTTATACATGATATCATATACATAATTATTGTTTTTCTGTGGTAGTTACTTAGTTTATATAAAATTGATAAAGTGTACTACAATGATTCTCTGTAGTTCTTGGCTACTTTTCCTGTAGTCCACTCTCAATTATTCCTGTTGATGCAGTGGGACAGTGGCATAGGTGATCCAAGTCATTTCCATTTTTCTTTGGGATACATTTTCTGCACAGATTTAATCTGTGCTGCTTTTGTTTGGGAAATTCACAAAACTTCAAAATGGCGAAAGCGTGCTTTTTCATATAGGCCTCTTGCTCACTTCTTTACTTTGTTTCTACTTAGTTGCTGGAAATGGACTGTTACTTCTTAGCTACAGTGGACCACATGCTTCTTGTGTAAGAGAGACACTTACCTTACTCAGCTTAGCCTTCCCTGGGTGATTAAGTCAGGAGGGGGTCATTTTCCCTTAGACCCCCCTCCCCCCCCCTGCTCCTGCAGTCTCTCCTGATTTGGAGCAGACAGAGCCTGCTTATGGCAAAATAAAGACAAAAGGTGATGTCATCTTTAATTTGAAAGCTTGATTTTTCTGTATTTAATTGAGCAGGAATAATTGAGAATTGACTTTATTTCTATGAGCTCCTGCAGTCTGGAAGAGGAAGCCTTCTAGGCAGTTATAATTATTAAACTTACCAGTTTTTCAGGATAGAAAAATAATTTTGAGATAACTTTATTATATGAAAATTATTCTCAAGTCATCTTGACTTGATTTCTCATGTCATTAAACTATTTGGTGAAGACAGTAAATCAATAATTGACTTGTATTATTTTCTCACTTTCACAAATGATATTTTCTCTTCTAGAAACCAGGTGATGAGGAAAAAACTCATCTTATTTTTTAAAAGAAGAAATCATGCAAGAAAGCAAAGGGTGAGGGCTTCTCCTTATTGACTTAATGTCTATGAGAATTGTGCAAACCTTTTTGTTTGCGTAGGCAGACACTATTCTCCACACCGTGGCCAGGAGGAACAACTGTGTGCAGAGTTGTGCTGATGAGGATGTTGACTTATATGTAATAAAAACTGCCAGCAGCATTGTGGGGGCGTAGTGTACATATTTGTGTGTGTCATTCTTAGATTGGTGCAATATTTTATGTTCTTTTTACCCAGCCAGAATAAGACTATTGGTAAGTGGTTTTAAAAATATTTATGAAGATTGAGTGGGGTGGGCTATCCTTTGTCTCCCTAACTTTTAAATTAGTGGAATAATTTTGCATAGATTTCCTTTCCTTTATTAAAAACCTGGTTATGTGATAGAAGTAGGTTTCAATTTGAAAGTGGCAAAAACCTTGGTTTTATTACATGATTAGGCCTTAATTTTAACCAGCTTAATTCTTCTTGAAAGCAAGTCATAGCAAATTTTATCTCTCTTTCTCAGTTTATAGTATTCTTCACGTGGCATTTCTTAGGCAAACAGTAGTTTGTCTATTTACACTTAAGATATCAAAATAAAATATTAGACTTTCTTTAAGTATAAACCAAAATGACTTTGTAGCTTTATTTTTAAGGTCCCAAATGTGGAGTTTTAAGAAAAGCAGAAGTCGGGGGCAGCTAGGTGGCACAGTGGATAGAGCTCCAGCTTTGGAGTCAGGAGGACCTGAGTTCAAATGCGGCCCCAGACACTTGACACTTACTAGTTGTGTGACCCTGGGCAAATCACTTAACTCCAGCTGCCTCACCAAAAAAAAACAGACCAGGAATTGATGCTTAGTAGAAGACTTCACATAACTTCATTTGCTTCTTGTTGTTAAGGCTCAAGCCTTATAGGTAGTTGGTTTTTTTTTTAAAAGAAATAATTTCAAAATTTTTCTTCTACTAATATGTAAAATCATTGTTATTAATAGAAAAAATATTAATGCAATTATGGCAATTAAATTAATAGGATGATATTGTATAAAGAGCTTTCGACGAGGAAGTTATAATCCATCCAGTCCCAATTTTAGCATAACTTCACCTGGGACAAGTCACCAAACAACCTGCTGCCTTCATTGTCCTCATCTGTAAAACTGTCTTTAAGGTCACTTTGTTTCTGATGTTCGGATTCTGACAAATTGTTTTTTCTTATTTGTAACTTGCTCATGTGGTTTACCTGTCTTTGAAATTTGAGCATGAATTTTGTGTTTTGCCTTTGGAAAGCCTTTAAATCAAATTTATTTTTGGAGGACTATTTAATAATGAGCATTTCTGATTTTTTTTTTATTACAGTATTGTCAACTAAGTATGAGTTTAAAATAGTCACCCTCTCTTATTAGCTATTGACATACACGCAGGCCAAGTTACAGAGAAGGGGAAATGTGGTGTAGTCCGACCAGCTCTAGCTTGTGGTGGTGAGATTCCTGTGCTTTTAAAAGCTTCTTCCTTGTTACCTGCCTTATCAACCAGTACAACCCATAGTGTAGACAAGCTAAGTAAAACAAACACACACACACACACACACACACACACACACACACACACACACAGGAATAATAATATTCAATGACTACTTTTTACCTAATGGAGTTGGGTAATGAAATCACCATTTACTTTGACCCTTTAAAACAAAGACATCACCACTGAATGACCTGCCTGTTCAAATCCTTTTTAAAGCATAACCCCTTTGACAAAGTAACATTTGGGTGACACATTACAGTAATGTTATTCAAAGACTTTCAGTTATATTTTATCGATAATTAATTTTTGTTTTCCATATTTAATAGGAACAGAAAATCTGCCAGCGTTATGATCAGCTCATGGAGGCATGGGAGAAAAAAGTGGACAGAATAGAGAATAATCCCCGGAGGAAAGCTAAAGAGAGTAAAACCCGAGAATACTATGAAAAACAATTTCCAGAAATTCGGAAGCAAAGGGAACAACAAGAAAGGTTTCAGAGGTAGTAATGAATGGCTATAATAATTTTTTCCAGTTAAAAATTTGATTGTGTCACTATTCAATGTAGTAGACTTTCTTTATAAAATTAAAGAAATTAATTACAGCTTTACTATATTTATTTAGAATCAAAAAGTTGACTGTCATCCATTGTTGTTATTCTTGTAAATTTTTCTCTGTTTATTTGATGTTGGGGGTAAATCTGAATAGAGATGAATATTTAAAAATTGTTTTCTGGTTCTTAAACATGTAACCCTCTTTGGGAATGATGGTGAATATGGATGAGAATTCCATGTGGAAAGTCTGAGTTTCCACATTATATCACTCTAACATTACCTCTAAAAAGGTTTATGGTGATGTTCATTGATTGCAAGCTATCCAGTTTAAGAAATTCTTTATTTTTGTTAGGATAATCTCTGGTTTATTTTTCCTTTTAGAAAATAAGATGCTACTTGGTAAAGACTTTTTAATTCTTTGGTTTTTATTGTCTCTTACAAACCAGAAATATGAAAACCCTTTCCATCCCACTTTAGTTTCTATATTGGAGAGCATTTTTAAAAAACATTTGGCATATTTCTCAGCCTGCAATGCTACTCTTGGCTGAAAAGCAGACCAGAGGCTCCTGTCTGAAGTTTAGATGGAATCAGCAGCTGTAAAAAAAACAACCACCAACTCTAAGAATACTTTTCCAGAAGGTTCTCCCATATGTGCACTTGTTGAGCATGTGGCCTTTCAATGTTTGGATCAGCTTTTAAATAGTTACTCATTTACATGGTGATAGCCTCATGTTACCTAGCCTGCTTATTCAGTCAAATTTTAAAGTTTTTCATGTTCAGTTTTGTGTTTTAACAGGTTATTTAAAAAAAAAAACTACTCCAGAAATTAGCATAGTAAATTTAATGGTGATATACTTTAAAATGTAAAGGTCTTCTAATCTGCTTAAACTTTTCTTCTTGTGTCTAGGGTTGGGCAGAGAGGAGCTGGGCTTTCTGCCACCATTGCTCGAAGTGAGCATGAGATTTCTGAAATCATCGATGGCCTCTCTGAGCAAGAGGTGAGCTGGCAATTGATCTTTACCAGGGTCTGTTCTGGAGGTGTTCTGGTGCTGCTTTCGGTCTTAGTCCCTAGAGAGCTAGTAATTCTTGGTGCACCATTCACTCTGTGAATGATGGATTCTATATCCACCATATACTTCCTTATAGGATTAACTAGATCTTCACACCCACGGGCTGGACCTAGACTTTCTTTACAGATTTAGCAAGAGAGCGAGTTCTTCACGGTTTGCACAAATCAAGAATAGTTAGGGCGAGGATAATCAGAAGAGGCAGCTAATTTAAACCCCCTCTTAATGAACTCCATGGGATATTTGGTTGAATTTCTTTTGATGCAGTTTTGTTAAAACAAGCACTTTCTATTTTATGAGGCTTGGGGGTTGAATAGCCCATGTCCAGCTACCCTGTAATTATTTAGTAAGCGAAAAATGTAATGTAATAATAAAGAATGTGATGTAATTTGATGTAACCTCTGTAGAGGAATTATAATGGTTATGAATGAACCTTTCTTCATCCTTTCACTCCCTTTTCTCTTTTAGCCTTTTTCATTTGATTCTCTTTGCTTCTGAATCTTTAGATTGTTGACATTTTTTAGGGGGAGAGGGGAGTAATTTTGGTGATTAGATTGTTTGACAAGTAAAGCAGTAAGGAGAGTCAAAAGAGCGGTTGTATATTATGACCAGACAGAAGAATGTTAGAACCTGGTTCTCTTTCCCAAAGGAGTCTTGGGATCTGTTTCTTCAGGTCACACAGCTGGTGTGATTGGGAAGTCACTAGCTGCTCTTACGTCATTGCCCCATCTGCCAATGACAAGACCTTTGTACTGATGGTACCTTCCAGCCTAATCATAGAATCGTAATGTAGAACTGGAAGGAGCTTCTGAGCCTGCCTCGTCCAGCCTTCTATATGAGAGATGAGGATGTGTGCTTAGAGCGGGGAAAGACCTTTGAAAAAACCTCATGGGAGTTGGACACAGGGCCTCCACTCCAGATCTGGGGCTTTTCCCACTTGGGGCTGCCATTTGCGTTTTTCATTACAGATACTTGATGGATGCTTGGAGAAGAAACAAAGCATGTGATTATATGAAACTGTTCCAAGTACCTAAAATGATAAAGTATTATTTATCCATGGACTATTGCCTGGCGGTGGGAAGTTTTTTAAAATGCAAAATCTCTTTATTATGGCATTTGTGCTTTTGGAACTTCATCTCTATTTGTATGTGAAATACCATGTTTAACTAAAGTTTATATTATGGGTGAGCCTGTTCAGGATTGAAGTGATGAAGTCACATTGTGAAGCCCCTCTTCAGAAGGACCTGAAAAGTTCTTATGTAGCTTCCCAGTCCTTCCTCATTCTTCCATCCACCTCTCTCCAACTGTGCTTAAGGCAGTCATATTACTTACTGTGTAAGCATAAGCAGTATTCCTATGGAATTGATTTCTTGTTTGTAGAACTAATTCATGGAGGGTATACCTGTAGTTTTGATGTAGGTGGAAAAAACCCCCTACTACATTTTGAGTGAGATGTGCATTTTCATCCTTACTCTAGTAACCTTTAGTGATCTCTGTTTCCTAATCTGTAAGATGGGTTTAATAATCATACCCAATGTCTACCTCATGGTGTCATGGGGATCTAATGGGAAAACTGTATAAAATTGTTTATCGTAAACTACTAAATTAAATCAGCTCTTATTATCATTATACAATCTTCCAACTGTGTGGTTACTAAACAAAGGAATAGAAGTAATTTGGATGGATCTGACAAATTTTCACTTGAAACTAGCTTAGCCTCAGGTATAAAAGCATCAAACTTTGTGTCAGGAGACATAGATTTGACTCCATCCTTTCCCTTAACACTTGCCAGGTGTGGGATCGTGGGCAAATCACTTAACCATTCAAAACCCATAGTTTCCATTCTGCAAAAGGGCAACAGTATCTTCATCACCCACTACCCAGGGTGCTTGTAAGAAAAGCACTTAGCAAACGTGAAAGAGCTTTTTGGGAGGTATGAGTATTGTGTGTGTAATTTCTTGTGTAGTCTTACATTTGAGTTGGAAGGATCTAAGTTAATAAAGAGTTTAATTAAGAAACAGTTCAGTTTAAAATGTAGTATCCTAAAGTTTGCAGTCTATTTGTCTGTGTTTAGGTTATTATCTAAAGATGACGTCCCTTAGTTAGAGCCTCTCTCAGAAGAGTTTTCTTTGTGTGATCTTGGTGAAGTCACTTAACCTGCTGGGGCACCCTTTATCTTCAAAATGGGGTTGCCAAGGTTTCTTCCAGCTCCTCCATGCTACAGATTTACACCTTGTTATACAGAAGGGGGCCAGACCTTAGGGACCTGGTCTCATCCTAATAAAGAATGTCCTCACCAGCCTCTCCAGTCACTGGTCGCCCAGATTGTTACTTGGAGGAACTGAATGAGGGGAAACCTGCTGACTGTGAAAGCCCGTTTTCATCAAGCTTTCATTTCTTTTTTTGGAATCGTAACTCCCCCACTTACTTGTAGTTCTGCCAAACAAAGCTTGTTTAGTCATTCTTCCACTCAACAGCCTTTCAAACACTTATGCAACTATTATATACTCACCAAGTCTTTTCTGTAGGACTAACTGTCCGTAGTTCCCTTTTTTTTTTTTTGGTGAGGCAATCAGGGTTAAGTGACTTGCCCAGGTGCAGCTAGTAAGTGTCATGTGTCTGAGGCTGGATTTGAACTCAGGTCATCCTGACTCCGAGGCCAGAGCTCTATCTCCTGCACCACCTAGCTGCCCCTGTCCGTAGTTCTTTCAACTTCTCCATACCAATCGTGCTTCCTTTGGATGCTGTCTCTTCGCGGTGTTCTCCCTAAAATGCGCCATTCAGAACTGGACACTCCATTTCAAGGGCATCCAAGATTGATTCCCTGAGCCTGAGACTAGCATAGGCTGTCAAAGAGCTTCTCTTAATGCTATTTTCAGTTGCATTTACTTTCTTGCCTTTCACACCATTCTGTTGACACGTTTGGAGACTCTTTAAGTAAATTCCCTCAGACTTCTTTCAGGTGGGCTCCTGTCTACACCTCCTTCCCCCCCCCCCACATTGTACAGAGCATCAGAGACTATTACCAGGTACTGAAATCTCAGCGAGCCAGACATTCTAGGATTTTGCCAGGACTTGAGGTCAGGCTCATGACATTGCGACTTATAGATTTTATTTTCTTCCTGGTAGAAAATGATGACATTTGCCCTTTTTCCAGTGCTGCACTGATTCTTATGCTCCATCTTTTAAGATTACCGGAAGTCTCAACAATCACATCTTTCATTTCTTTCAAGACTGTGATATAGTGCTCAGCTGCACTATGCTGCTTAACTTATAAACTGTGTATAGTTATCCTTGGGAGTTTGACCTCCCAAGACAGGCACAGGAACCATATAAACACAATTACCACGTACTTTTCACAAACAAAGACAGATATAACTCATTGGAGAAATAATCATTGCTTCATTGCTCCATGGGCAGGCTAAACTACTCGAATCAAAATGGCAATACCACATTTTTATTGGTTAGTAGTTTCCCTTTTGCTTCCTCCTTAGAGTTTTTTCTCTTTGCCTTCTGAATTAAATTCTTAGGAGATTTTCGCCCCTCCTGGCTTGATTTCTGTAGAACTTGGTTCTCTGGGGTCTACATAGCTATCCTCAGAACTCTCTGAAGTCTGTTCACATAAAATTCTAAGTGCATGTCAGAACAATCCCGACATTCCTCTCTCACTGTCTCGCGTTCCAGGGCCTCACGTGTCCCTCCATTCCAACCCTAGAAATCAGTTCTTGTTGGTGAGAATCAGACCAAGTTCAGAGTTTCCCCTTGTTATTGCCTCTGCTTTCTGAAGAGCAAAAGTGTCATTAAGGCAAGTCAGTAAGTTATTAGCTACTTTGCTTTTTGTGTAGAAGAGGCTTCAATACATGTTTTGCAAACTGAAGTGTTAGCTAACATTATTAGCTAACATTCATATAATGCCTATTATGTGCCAGGCACTGTGCTCAGCACTCTACAAGTATCTCATTTGACTCTTAAAACAACCTGTGATGTTGGTGCTGTTATTATCCCTATTTTAGAAATAATGGAAACTGAGGCAAACAGATTAAATTAATTTCCCATGGTTACATAGCTAGTAAATGTCTGAGGCTGGATTTGGATTCAGGTCTTCCTAACTCTAGGCCTGGTGCTCTGTCCACTTGCCTTCTTGCCCACTTGCTGCCCATCATTATCATCCCAGTCAGTATTGAATTCTTCTGATCCAGGCCTGTGGTCGGGTTCCTCTTTCTAAGCACATAGTCTCTGTAGTATTTATTCCCTAATGATAATATCAATAGTTTTTCCCTCTCTACAGTGTTACTCAAATGCTCTTTGCCATGCATCCACACTCTGGTGCCTGCTTTCTTCTCATGTGTATACCTTTTTAATGTACCATCATCACCCTTTCTTCTCCTTCTCTTTTCTTGTTTATTAGCTGTACTTTTGTGCATTTTTGTATAGACATCTGAAGGTGTGGATTTTTTTACAGGCTATTTTTTTTTGAAATTTTTCCCTGTGATTTAAAATTATTTTCTTTTGGCAAATTTGAGTATCATTTTTAAAAAGTGAGCTGTATATTTAGTGTATTTAAACTACATTCTTTGAGCACCTATTAGCATGGACAGACTTTTATATAGCACTTTTAAATTATAAAATGCTTTATATGCATCTTTTTCTTGAGTCCTTCCAGTAGAAGCTGACTAGTATGAGCATTCTTCCCATTTTGCAGAGATGAAAGTTGAGGCTGTGAGAAGCTAAGTGACTTTTTCAGGTTTATGCATCTAGGAAACATCAAGAGTTTCCTGCCCTAATTTTGCTCCAACATACTGCTTCCCCATAGCACTTACCCAGCTGTTCTACTACCATTAAACTGTGTGTCTTCTCTATAGTACAATTTAAATTGCTTCTTTAAATATTATTCCAAATAAACTACTTTTCTTTTTGTAGAACAATGAAAAACAAATGCGTCAGCTTTCTGTCATTCCACCCATGATGTTTGATGCTGAACAAAGAAGGGTGAAGTTTATCAACATGAATGGTCTCATGGAGGATCCCATGAAGGTTTATAAAGACAGACAGTTCATGAATGTTTGGACTGACCATGAAAAGGAGATCTTTAAGGAAAAGTAATTAGACTTGTAATAATTCTTTTACAAAGGGCTATTGTAACTTGCATGAAACCATTCCAGTGTCTCTTTATTTTGAGCAAGTATTTATTTATTAAGTGTCTCCTGGCAGAACACAAATGAGATAGTCTCGGCCCTCAAGCAGCTTACTTTCTATTGGGGGAATCACATGGAGGTATATCAGCAGACACAGAATATCTACAAACTAAACAGAGAGTATTGGGGGGTGGGAGGAGAAAGACCACCAGATTGGAGAGGATTGCATGAGCTGGCCCTGGAGGGAGTATGTATTAGAGGCACTGAAGATAGCCTGGCCAAAGATCTGGAGATGAGAAATGGAATATTGTGTACAGGGAACCACAGTGAGTCAGTTTGACTAGAATTTGGACGATATAAAGGAGAATCATGTGTAATAAGTCTGGAGAGAGAAGTTGGCAGTAGGTAGTGAAAGGCTTTAAGTGTCAAATAGAGAAACTTATGTGTTATCCTTGAGACAACTGGGAGACACGAGACCTTTTTGAGCAGCAAGATGACATGGCCAGAGCTGTGTATAGGAGTGTCATTTTGACAGCTATGTGGAGGATGAATATGAAGGGGAGAATTTGGAGACAGATTTTCCTTTCTCCAAATTCAGAGACTATTATATTAATTTAGGCAAGAGGTGATAAAAGGCCAATCTAGTATGGTAGATGTAAGACAAGAACAGATGTAAGAGATGTTATGGAAGTGTAGTCAACAAAACTTGCTAACAGATTGGATCTGGGGGATGAAGAGTGTGAAGAGTTGAAGATATCTCCAAGATTACAGATTTAGGTCCCTGGAAGAATGATGTTGCCATTCACAGACATAGGGAAGCTAGTCATTTTGGGCAGTGGGGAGAGGGTTTGGGACTAAAGATGAGTTCTTTTTGGATATTCAATTGGAGATGTCTACTAGACAGTTTGGGGGTGTGCGGCTAGAGTTGATTCTAGAGACCAAGACTGGATGTATCACTTTGTCAGTTGATTGCATAGATATGGTAGTCAAACCAGTAGAAGCTGATGAGGTCACTGAGGCAATATAAAGAGAAAACATTGGAGAGCCTAAGACAGACCCCCGTTACCTCCATGGCATATGGTATATAGATGGTGGTCCGTCAGGGGAAGTGGGGGATCTATCCATGTAGGAAAATGAGAAAGAACAAAATTATTAAAACAGTGAAGGAGAAAATGTACAAGAGTGAAGTTTTGGACAACAGGTGTCCTATGCTACAGAAGGATTAATAAAGTGACCAAGAATAGACCATTGGATTTGACAAGGGATCATTGGTAACTTGGGAAAAGGCAATTTCAAGGTATTGAGAAATGAGTAGAAGGTGAGAAAATTAAGATACTAAGTGTAGATAGCTTTTTCTAGGAATTTGGCAATGAAAAGAAAGAGAGGTAAAGAAAAGCTCACTCTGAGGTATAGTACAGAGGTTTCCAAGCTTTCTCCCTTCTCTGTGTGCTTAATGTTGTAGTAATTTTTTCATGGCACCATTAGTCCAAAAGAATACTCAGAAGTTCCATTTATTAAGTAAGTAGTTAACTTAATAAGTATTCCTGTCCTAATAACTTTGTAGCCTTTTGAAAACATAATTCATATAAATTGAAAAAAAATATATTTCATTCTTAAATAACCACAATCATTTTTACTACTGGGATGTGTGTGCCTTTTGGGCACTGCGCCACTTCTCAAACCTTGGAATCAGATTGGACACCACCACTCTCATTCCCTGTTCCATTGACTTTTGCACAGTACTTTTTGTCACAACAACCATCAAAAGCCCAGCTTTACAAAGATATGACATTGCAAACGAGAAAGTTCAAGAAGTTACTGATAGAACCAAAAGCACAAGTGAGCAAAAACATGTCTCCAACATTTGAGAACATCATGGAAAGGAAGTAGCATCATTGCTACACTATTCCAACATGGCTTGCTTTTTTTTTTTTAAACATATCTGTTGGAACTGGGAGGCTCAAATGCATTTTCCCAGGCGTGAACTATTTATACCTGTAATCACTAAAAAGCAGTACATCAGAAGATATTTTTAACATCAAAGACCTGAAAATGCCTTGCACTGAAATCGGGAACCACCTTGAGCTAGTAGTTTGTGTAGCATTGAACTGATAGGGTACTGCTGTTTTTCCCTTTAAAATTTAAACTGTCCCAAGCACTCCTGTGAGTTCTCTGTGGCACCGAGGTGCACGGTTTTGGAACTGCAGGGGTGATATAATAAAGTGAAGGTGCTTTTTAAAGGTTGGACTAGAGCAAAGTGTGTTATAAACAGTGAAGGAGCTACTGGATGTCTTTAAGGACCATTTTATTTCCACTAAGGGTTGGCAATTGGATTCATTGTCACAGTTTATACTGACTGTAGGGTAGCAAGTACCCTCCTGCCAGTTATAATCAGTGGATGTTTGGGCGAGTAGGTCTTAGGAGGGGACTGGGCTGTAGCTGATCTGTAAGGCAGTTTCCATTTCTTAATCCATGATCCTATCATAGACGTTGCTGTGGGAATTTTCAGAGCGGTCAGTTTAGCTGCTTAGTTTTCCTGCGTGTGTGAGCAGTTTTTGGTCTTGTGTTTTAGAGTTATAGGGCTTTTCATAGTTTATGGTTTGTTTGTTGTTGTTGTTTTTTTAATCGTTTCAAGGCCAGTTGACTGAATATTTCTTGTTGAAATAATAGCATCAAAGAATGTCGAGAGATAATAGTCTTCCCCCCCTCCCCCCCCAAAAAAAACCCAACCCAATTCCAAATGATTTGTTTGGTAGTGTTTGTGGGTATGTGTGTTTCTTTAAAGTCTTTAAGAAGACTGTTATTAATACATCTTCCTCAATTACAGATTTGTCCAGCATCCAAAGAACTTTGGCCTTATTGCTTCCTATTTGGAAAGAAAGGTAATAAAAATTTCTCATTGATATTTTATTATGAAGAGGTGGCAAAATTTTAACTGTTCCAACATAATATTCTTTAGGAAAAGCTTAAATAGAAATGTTTATTTACCAATTTCTCTCATCTACAAACCTTAAAACACTATGCAAATGACATTTATTATTATTATTATTATTAGCCTACAGTAACCAGGCCTCCAGTCTGGTGATGACTTCATTCCCTGAGCCTTCTTCCATACTCCTGCTGAACTCAAGCAATATTTATAGAGAAATACAGGAGTGTGCTGATCAGTGTTTAACAACCAGGTTTTCATCTCTCAAAAAAAGTATGCATACACACTTTTAAGATTAATCCACATTATTTACGCTTAGAATTTTTGTGGTGTCAATACATTAAAAATTAACAATAGAAAAGCCTCCAATAGATGTGTGCTGGCTAATTCTGATAGAAGAATCATCATTGCTACATTACTCCAACACGGCTTGCTTTTTTTTTTTTTAAACATATCTGTTGGAACTGGGAGGCTCAAATACATTTTCCCAGGCGTGAACTATTTACACCTATAATCTCTAAAAAGCAGTACATTAGAAGATGTTTTTAATATCAAAGACCTAAAAATGCACAAGGTTGGTGTGGGGGGGGGGCGGGCTTTTTTTTTTTAAATGAAAGTAAGACCTTTCAAGGTATGAAATGGACTTTTATACACTTTTTTCATAATGAAAATGAGAGCAGAGTTCCCTTCAGATGGAAACAAAGACCTTGATGGTTGTTGTGAATAGCAGTGCTTATAACTGCAAGGTAGCATTTTTAGCATCTTGTACGGTGAATTCTGACTGCTCACTGATTTCAAAGTAGAAAATTGTAAAATCAAAAAATTGTATGGCAGTCCTAAGACAAGAGTATTTTTCATTTCTATAAAACAACAGTAGCAACAACAGCGAAACTCCAAATTCTAAACCTTAGTACAAATCAGGGATGGACGATTACATGGAGAACTTGCACTGATCTTATTTTGACTTCATGCCCCCTTTGCTTATGTTATTTTATAGAAATGATACCATGAATGTTCTCCACTGTAGAGGAAATGCTAGAATATGATACATGTGGTGGTGTCCTCTTGGTCCTCTGCCAAAGCAGTTGCTAGGATAGGAAAAAATGTAAGAGAGTATGTGTTCGTTCTTTCTCATAATTGTAAAATAATCAGAAACATTCCCACTGGATTCAGAAGGACTTTTTTTGGACTAAAAAGCTCAGTTTCAAATGAAGCATATGCAGACATAACTACTGGACTGAAATGGCCTTGTATTCCTCTAGAAAAATTAAAAATCAAACCCATTAAGAATTTCCAGTTGAAATATCACAGTTCCCTGATGTAATGTCAGCTGTGATCACAGTTACCAAGACTGGCTTAGCATGGCATTACTAACAATTCTCAAAGAAGGGGTTGTGAGTGTACATATGAGAAAGAGAATGTCAACATACAGGGGATGGTAGGTTTGGGCTTCCTGGTTTTTCTTATTTTGTGCATTGTTTATGTGATTTGAATTTTTAGAACCCTAAAGACAGATTTTTTTATACTTAGGGAAAGTCTATGGAATATTTTGTGACAATTGTCTTGTATTTAGAAAATTCTATTGAAAGCATAAACAGTTGTATTTGTTAAAATCTTATCCTTTTGAAATCTGAAAAACGGATCTATTTCATTTTAGAGTGTGCCAGACTGTGTTTTATATTATTATTTGACCAAGAAAAACGAGAATTATAAAGCCCTAGTAAGAAGGAATTACGGAAAACGCAGAGGGAGGAATCAGGTACGTGTCGTCGCTGTGCTCAAGAAGGTTGGTTTTTGCTTTGTGGAAATATGAAAACGGAATGCTCTAGGAATCCCCATGGAATCTTAATGCATGGCCTGTTTTTATTAAATTAGGACAATAGCTTTATAATTGGAAAGATCATGTTACTTCAGGCTTTTTCCATTTAGAATACATTTTTGTAGTAAGGTTATGGTGAAAATCAGTTAATTCGCATGGGGGTGTTTTTTGGGGGGTGTTAAATATGTTACTAATAACATACGTGATTTGTCTGTTACAAGATTATTGCCCGTGCTCTTGCTAGTACCATTAGGTAATTGGGGTTGAATGAAGGGGAGGAGAAAGGACCGTCTCACAGAAGTGTTTCCCTTCTGGCCTCCGTCAGTAAAAGGGTCTGTTCAGCCGTTTCCTCGGCAGGGGTGGGGAATGTGCAGCCTTAAGGCCACATGTGGCCTCTGGGCATTGGGATTCAGTCAAAGGGCCACATTTGAGGACCTAGAGGGCCAGTGGTCTCGAGACTGCAGGTTCCCCAGCCCCATGTCTTGTGCCTGTTTTTGTTGCACTTCTTGGACTCTTCCTTCCTTTCAATATTTAGGGTTATGGGCATTTTTCCTCAGTTGGTACTTGGCTAAGTTTCTTCACATTATGTTGGATTACTTGGTTCAAGGTCATTTTTTGCAACATTGCTTCATAAATCAGGTCCAGACTTTTCTCCTGTGTGATCTTTGGTCGTCTCTATAGTTTCTTCAGTGTGATACTAAATTCTTTTTTTTTTTAATTTATTTTGATTTATCAGCAATCACTTCCATATGTTTTTGAGTTTAAAATTTTTCTCCCCCTTCCTCCCCATCACCCTCCCCAAGATGGCACACAATCTGATATAGGCTATACATATACACTCCTATGAAATGTATTTTCACAGTACTGATGTTGTAAGTAAGAATTAGAACCAATAGGAGGAACCTCCAGAAAGAGGAAACAAAACTCAGCAGAAGAGAAAAAAAAATAACTAATAGTCTGCTTTGATCTGCATTCAAATTCCATAGTTCTTTCTTTGGATGTGGACAGCATTTTCCATCATGAGGCCTTTGGAGATTCTTAAATCCTTGTATTGCTGGGAAGGGTTAAGTCTATCAGTATTAGTCATTGCACAGCGTGGCTGTTATCGTGTACAACGTTCTCTTGGTTCTTCTCACTTCACTCAGCATCAGTCCATACAAGTCTTTCCAGGTTTTTCTGAAGTCAGCCTGTTCATCATTTCTTATACCACAATAGGATTCCATTACATTCATACACCACAACTTGGTCAGCTATTCCCCAGATGATGGGCATCCCCTCAATTTCCAATTCTTTGCCACTACAAAAGAGCTGCTATAAATGTTTTTGTACATGTGGGTCTTTTTCCCATTTGTATGATCTCTTTGGGGATACAGCCCTAGAAGAGCTATTGCTGGGTCAAAGGGAATACTAAATTCTTAAGGAAACTTTGAATTTAATACATTCTCACTTACAGAAAAATCTTTTAATGGAAATGCTTGATATTATGTTGGAAGTGACACTTAGAAAGCTGGTCTTACTGACATTCTAAACATCTTTTTCTAGTGTCTGAATAATTCAGTAGTTGTTTATCACTGTTCTTAACATCAAAGAAGAAAGAAAATAAGACGACATTCCCTACTTTGAAACAGCTCAGTCTAATGGGGAGACAGAGCATGCACACAAATACCTCAGTGCCAAATTACAAAGTAGGGTGTCCCTGGGAGAGACATGAAGTGCTCTGAGAGTGCTAAGAAGAAGGAAGTTCCTTCTGATTGGTGAGAGCGGGGGTGGGAGAGAGGAGGGAAATCAGGAGAGATTTCACAGGAGACATGGCTCCTTTGGAGGAAGGGTGCTCCAGTGTGTGACTGTTTGATTGTTTGATGTGTAACTACTAGAGTAGGGCAGTTGGATCCTCTACAAATGGAAAACAAGATTCCATGGTTAGTGTCTCTACGAAAATTAGTTCGCTATCCAGTTGGGGTAGCTGGTAAGCTAAGTGTATAATAAAACATAAGAGTGAGGGTTTTTTGGGGTTTTTTAAGTAGTGTTTTTAAGTAGTGTTTATGTAACTGGCACCATATTATAATGTGTATTATGATTAATAATATGATCATTCCAATTGTAGTTTTAGGGACCTTGGAACTTAGCTAACTTTTCTTTGGAAATGTGTGGCTTTTAATGATACATTTTGTCTGAGTGTTTAGTGATTTATGGCAAGGTACATTAGAAGATGATGTAATAATGCCAGTAGATATTGGGATACATGTTCTATGGAAAATCCATATTTTCCTCACAGTTATGTGTTTTAGAGAGCAAAAAGTAATAGTTATCTGCTGGCTAGCAATATGAAATTTACAAGTGAGCAATAAAATTGTCTCCTCTGTTTAACACACTGGTTCAGTAAGAATGAACTTGGAAGCACCAAGTGTCTTTGCTAAAAAGAAGCACATGCTCTTTGAGTCCTTTTTTTTTTTTTTGGCTAGGCAGTGGGGTTAATTGACTTGCCTAGGGTCGCACAGCTAGTAAGTGTTACATGTCTGAGGCCGGATTTGAACCCAGGTCCTCCTGAATCCAGGGCTGGTGCTCTATCCACTCTGCCACCTAGCTTCCTCTCTTTGAGTCCCATTGAAGATCACTAACTCTGTAGCACAGGAATCAGTGAGAACTTGAAGGACAGTGGCAAACTCCAGGGGAAAGAAAGGATTGAGGGTATCAGAGAAACTTGTGTGACGACCTGGCTGGCTGCTCAGTGACCAAGTGGTGAAGAGACCAGAGTCTCTGCAGGGAAGTCGCTTTGTTGGCTATGCTATGAGCCAGAGGTGAGTGAGAGCAGAACTCACAAATGTGGGGAGCAGTCCTTTGAGATCGGTAACCGTGTACGGGAAGGAGGGAACCATCCAGAGTTAAGATTTTTAAACTTTGGGAAACAATAGAATTACTGTGCTGTTATATGAAATATTATTTTTAGTAGAAAACAATTACACACCAAAAAGTGAAAAAACCTACTACCACTGTCCTTTGGGGTCAGCAGTAGACATTCCTTTTTTTCTGAGTTGTTTGTGAATCAAATGTTTGTAAATCTAGTCACTTAAGGCAGGTAAGGGGCAGGTAGTACCTCTCTATCTTGAGGGATCTGGTGGCAGCCCTCCCCTTTATTTTTTAACAAAGCAAAATCCTCTTCTTATCCAGCCCTAGTGTATATTTTGTGATTCTGAGTTTACGGAATGATTTTCCTTTTTGTGGTATCTCCCTACGGTGACACTGATCATTTTGTTCTCTTTTTTCTAACCTGCAAAATTAGAACATTGAACTAGATGATCTTTTAGCTCTAACATTTTATAAGCTTGGGAAGTTGCTACTAACACTGACATGCTATTCAATGAGGCATATGTTGTAAGATTGTCTTTCATTAACAGTAAAGTTACTTGAATTTTCTGTTCTCTCCTCCACTTTTCTTTGTGACTATGGTATTTATTTTTGTGGTGACTGGCCTGTGCTAAGGAGTTAATGAGATGATTGTAGAATATAGTTTTTGTCTGACCTTATTTGTCCTAACTGCCTTCTGTTTAGGCAGTGGGTGAAATAAACACCGAAACATGAAGCGTCTCCAACCTGTTGTGCAGCTTTCTCAGCTGTGGTCTGACCCCGTGCCTTTAACCACTCATTTCCTAGAGTGAGGACTTTGACCTCACAAAGGAATGCCAGTGTGATGTATTGAGTTGAAGGACAGTTCAGAAATTGTGTAGTCATTGAAACAGCTTTCCAGTGGAGTGGGCAGAGACAACAAAATGAAGTTTGAAATGGTTACCCTGATCTATTTCTTCCTGGTGTATGAGGGGTTTGACAAAGACAAGCAGCCCACTAATTAAAACAAGGGTTTATAAAACAAACAAACAAAAAATAAATTTAGGCAGGATGACAAGAAAAAATTTGGGAAAGGAATCCTCCTGGCTATCTCTCTTACTTGCACTTCTGTAACTGGAGGAGGGAACGCACATTGAGGCACTCCTTTTTTGTGTCTGCTGCATTTCTGATTTCCATCGTGTCCGTGCCCATGTTGGTAATGAAGTAGGAAACGCTTCTGCTTTCTCTCTAACTCTGATTTAAAAGTATAGTTTGTTTAGATGAGATTTTAAAAATTGCCAATTTGCAGTAGAATATAAGCTCCTTAAAGGCAATAACTTTCATTTTTTGTCTCCTCATATCCCCATGAGCTAACATAGTCTCTGACACACAGTAAGTGCACAATATCATTTTTGTCTCCTTATCACCCCACCATCTAGCATAGTCCCTGGCACATTAGTAAGTGTACGATAAATTCTTTTTTTTTTAACATGTGTTTTTAAAACTTTGGGTTACAAATTTTCTCCCTTCCTCCCTCCCCACCCACCCTCATTGAAAAGGTCAGCAACTCGATACAGGTTATAGATGTGAAGTCATTCAAAACACTTCCATTTCTCTCTAACTCTGATCTCCTCCGTAGCAGAGTGAGACCACAAGCTGTATTCTGTTGGCCATTTGTAAATCCTTACATTTTGGTAATTCAGACATTCTTCATCTAGTGCCTTTTTGAGGGAGAACACCATCTGTTAGAAGGAACACTAGGGTTAGAGTTCAGAGGTTGAGATTCCAATCCTGCCTAGCACTTATGGACAAGGTACTTTACCCCCTCTAAGCCTCAGTTTTTTCATCTACAAAATGGGTATCATTGTACCTGTAGTACCTGTGTCGGGCTTGTTTTTGAATGAATGTTAAGAAAATGTTTCATAAACTTTATAAGCTTTGTATCAGCTCTTAGTCAGAAACAACCTGTTATTAATAAGACAGTGATGACAGACCAATCGAGTAGATTCCTAAGGCCGATGCCAGAGGCGTATGAATGACATTCATTTTCCTATTGTCTTGGACCTTAGAAGAAGAGTACTTGATGAGATCATTCCTCTGTGAGGTGGATTGAGGAG